CCAGTAGCCGACCGCCCGACCGCAGCAAGCCGGCGATCCGACCAGAAAATGAACCGACCGGTTTAGACCGGTTTGGGAGTTGTTCAGTATTTACTGACCCGGTTCGAGTCCAGTACAGTATTTCAGTTAATCTTTCAGTCCAGTCAGTCCAGTACACCGGTATCAGTTCAGTCCGGTTTATCTTGTCAGTCAAGTTAAGTCCAGGGAATATTCCAGTAAAATATTTAGATCGAGTCGAGCATCTTAACAATTATTTTTAGTCAGTCTGAGCGTAGTACTTAATATTTGTTTATTTATATAATTTTTACAGAGTAATCAGCAGCAGCACTTACATTATCAGTACAGGTGGGGACTCAGACTGGGTATTACATTGGTTATAATTGCTCTATCATGTTTTAAGGTATGTATATCAGTTATTCCACTTTGGGTGGAGGCGCAGTAGCCTTAATTGCCCATCAGAGTGTGCACATGGCCAGTTCAGTACAGACCTCGCGTCTGGAGATTACAGTTTGTTTATATATACCTGCAGTCATGATATTGATATTATTGTTGATGTTTACTTTAGTATGAGTTTCTGCGGAGTACAGTGTTTATAGTACTCACGCTCCCACTATTATGACTCTTTTCAGGAGACAGGGTCGGTCCGGAGGAGTGAGTGGAGCGGGTGGTCGCCGGTCCTGTACATGTAAATATGTTTATATTTTTGCAGACTGTTGATATGTATATATTTGCCACGTTTTACTTCCGCTGACGTTTTTAGACTTTCAAACTAGCGTGTAATTTTCAGACGACGATCCGAGCTTTCGGGTCTAGTTTTATACAGTATCACACGCTTGTTTTATAATGATAATCCATTTTTCATAAATAAGTTTATAGTTAACGGGTTTTTAGAAAGGAAACATTTTATGTAGCGTCCCGAGATATGTTTCGCAAAATAAACGTAAATTTTAGAAAAGGATTTGCGAAAATCGCACTCTGATTTTAGTAAACCAGCGGGGTGTTAGAAATTGGTATCAGAGCACATTTTCGTGTATCCGAATACTTTTAAAGTCAGAAATTTTAAGAAACGACCCGACCACGCTACGCTCACGCCTCGCCGACTATCTGGTAAGTGCTGAGTTACAGTTTATATATATTTAAATGAATACTTAAGTCTATGCTCAGTAGAGGGTACCAGATTATTGACCCTAGAAAACAGTAAGATGCTCGAGTATATTCAGAACTTAGTCGATTGTCCTAGTCATTTGATTGTTCGACTTTAGTATTCTCGGGTTATTTAGCGACTCGTCAAGAGATTTGTGTATTTAAGTAATCAGTCAGTTAATCTCTTATGTTATTTAATCATGTTAAATATTTCAATGTTCAGATGCCTCCTCGTAGAGAGCCAGATCACCAGGAACTCCCACAGGCCACAGTGGTCGCTTTGTTCCGCGACTGCCATCCAGAAAAGTTTTCCGGCGAAGGAGATCCTCGTGTAGTAGATGAATGGGTTCAGGGTCTCGAGATTATTTTCGAGGTCATGAACTGCCCTGATCGTTATCGCATGTTATGTGCCCAGATCCAGCTGACCGGTGATGCCAGACTCTGGTGGCAAGCCTATTGGAGTATGCGTCCCAGTGAAAAAGACGGTTGTACATGGGACCAGTTCAAAGAGCTGATCCGAGAAAAGTATTATCCCTCGTATTACCGAGCAGACATGGAGCGCCAGTTCTTGGCACTTACTCAGGGTACTCGTACTGTTGACGAGTACGAACGAGAGTTCACCCGTCTCGGAGCCTTTGTACCAGATCATGTAGGTACGGAAGCAAAGAGAGCCCACCGTTTCACCGACGGACTTCGCCCAGCAGTCCGCCACAACATCGTAGGCCACGGCGCCCAGATCTACGCCCCCGCAGTTGCCATTGCCCAAGAAGTCGATGCCAGTATCCGACGTGAAGCCGTCCAGACACCAGCCCAGCCAGTTGCTCAGCCATCAGCCCAACCTAAAGTAGCCCAACCATCAACAAACCAGAAGAAGAGAAAGCTCAGAGGGGGCTCAGATAACCGGAGGACCGTCCCAGACAATATCCAGAATGCCCAACCTACGGGAAACACCACCGTGGAGAATGCCTCGTGGGCCAGAATGTTTGTTTCTTTTGCCGCCAGCCAGGTCATTTCAGCAACAACTGTCCAGAACGACTGCAACAACAACCGCAACAACGTCAACAGCCACAGCAACCTCAAGAACAGCAACTTCAACAACAGCAGCCCAGGCAGCAACCACCACGACCACAACAACAGCAACGCGGCAGACAACAGGCTCGCGTTTTTGCAGTTGACCAGAGGGAGGCCGACCAGCACCCAGGTACCATGTCCGGGATGATTATTCTTAATGATGTGCCTGTCTATGCCTTATTTGATACCGGAGCGACCCATTCTTTTATATCACATCGATGTCTCGAAGCTATTGGGGTTCGTTCCACTACCACTGTCGATCCTCTCGAGGTGAGTTTAGCCTCGGGAAGAAAGATAGTGACTGACGCTAGAGCCACCGATCTCAGCCTTTCCATCGGCGGCCGTATTCTGATTACTGATACTTATGTTATCGAGATGAGGGATTTTGACCTCATACTCGGTATGGATTGGCTAACTCGATTTCACGCAGATATTCGATGTTACGACCGGGAGATTACTCTTTATCTTCCGGGAGATGATCATATCACTTATTACGGCTCCAGGACTCGTACTCTGCCACATATTATTTCTATGGCGAAAGCCAGAAAGATTCTTCGACGGGGTGATTGCCAGGGTTATCTCGTGAGCCTCGTTAGAGATGAGTCAAAGGCACGTTCACCTCATGATATTCCTATCGATGATATTCTTATTTATTCCAAGAGCCAGGAGGAGCACGAGGAGTACCTGAGGGCCGTTCTTTCGACCCTTAGACGCGAGAAGTTATATTCAAAGTTCTCCAAGTGCGAATTTTGGCTTCAGCGAGTAGCTTTTCTTGGCCACATCATTACTTCAGTAGGTATTGAAGTTGATCCTTCCAAAATTGCTGCAGTCCAGAATTGGTCAGCACCAAAGAATCCGTCTGAGGTTCGTTGTTTCCTCGGCCTTGCAGGTTATTATCGCAGATTTATCGAAGGGTTCTCAAAGATTGCACTCCCTTTGTCTCAGCTGACGAGGAAGTCTGTAAAGTTCGAGTGGACAGACCGTTGTGAGTCGAGTTTTCAGGAGCTGAAAAGGAGGCTTACGACGGCACCGGTGTTGACTATACCCGATCCTTCTCGGAACTTCACCATCTATAGTGATGCTTCGAGGCAGGGTTTGGGATGTGTACTTATGCAAGATGGCCAGGTCGTTGCTTATGCGTCACGCCAGCTTAAAATACATGAACAGAACTATCCGACACACGACTTGGAATTAGCTGCAGTTGTTCATGCCCTCAAGATTTGGCGACACTATCTATACGACGATCAATGCGAAATCTTTAATGATCATAAGAGCTTGCAGTATATTTTTACTCAGAAGGATCTCAACATGAGGCAGCGCCGTTGGTTAGAGCTCGTCAAGGATTACGATTGTACGATCCAGTACCATCCGGGAAAGGCAAATGTTGTTGCTGATGCCCTAAGCCGTAAGGTGAAGGGTGACTTGACGTACGTTGTTACTCAGCAGAGTCAGTTGATTCATGAGTTCGCCCGGATGCAAATCCAGCTGGTTGATGCACTTCCTACAACCAGTTTGGGGAGTGTGAATTCCATGCAGGTTCAGTCGACGCTGAGGGATAGAATCCGACAAGAGCAGGCTTCAGATGAGTTCATTCGTACGATTGATGCCAAGGTTCGTGCCGGAGGCGTCGAGAGTTTTCACCAAGGCACTGATGGGGCCTTGGAGTTTCGTGGCAGGATTGTGGTGCCTAAAGTCGAGGCATTGAGAAATGAGATTTTATCTGAGGCTCATACTGCACCCTATCTAGCCCATCCAGGAAGTACAAAGATGTACCATGTCCTGAAAGGGTCGTTTTGGTGGAGAGGATTGAAGAAAGATGTTGCCGACTTTGTAAGAAGATGTTTGACCTGTCAGCAAGTCAAAGCCGAGCATAAGAGTCCGATAGGCCCTCTACGACCACTGCCGATTCCGAGGTGGAAGTGGGAGGAGGTTGCGATGGATTTCGTTACGGGGTTACCGAGGTCGTCTGAACATCACGATGCTATCTGGGTCGTGGTCGACAGATTGACTAAGGTTGCCCACTTCTTGCCAGTATCGATGAGTATGCCTTTGGATCGGTTGGCTGAAATTTATGTCCGTGGGATCGTTCGACTCCATGGAGTACCTGTTACTATTGTGTCAGATAGAGACCCCAGATTCACCAGTAGATTCTGGAAGAGTTTACACGAGGCAATGGGTACAAAGCTAGCCTTCAGTTCAGCCTACCATCCTGAGACTGATGGACAGACGGAGCGGACTATACAGACGTTATGTAACACCCCTCCTTATCGTAAAATCAGAGTGCGAAAATTTCGCAAAGTTGTTTAAAAATAAAGCCTTTTACTTTGCGAAAACTGATTCGGGGTGCTACCTTAAAATCGT